ACTAAAGTTTATTCAAATCCAAGCTGGACTAAACAAAAACGCCCAGACACATGATAACTCGTTCTTATTGGTCGATTCTAATGGTGTGACTCGGATTGTGAGTTCTTATTGGTCGAATGGGAGGATTGTGTTTACATTTAGTCCAGCTTGGATTTGAATAGACTTTAGGTATCTATTTATCCACAATCCACACAACAAGGTCTGTTCGATATCGTAGAAAAAATACTAAAAATCACTAAATAACTGCATTCAATGGTGGCCATTTTTGTTGTTTACAATTCTTGTGCTTTTGGTTTGTACAGATTAATAATCGTTTTAAACGTTGTGTTTCTTACAGAGGGACTTGCAAGCCTTATAAGAGACCTCAAAGTGGTAAGAACAATCATTTTACTCCTCTTTTGTAAAAAATAAACCTTATTATATCAAGGCTGTCAAATGTCAATTTGAAGGTTAAGAGACCTTAACATAATGATGGTTTTTGTTGTACAATTAAAGGCATAATTGGGCTCTATTTTTTGAGAAAAATTATCGTACTTTTACCGTAACTTTTGAACTGTACATAAACATAATCCAAGATTTCTTTGCACCACAACTGAAAGTAATGTATATGGGTTATTTGTAGTTACAATGTACTATGCTCCACATCTCAAAGTCCCACCACGTGACCACGTACGGAACGCAGTATTTTGAAAATTTGGCATTTAAGGCTTTTCAGATTATGTATCCGTCAAAGTATAGTCAACGAAAGAAATAATATTATGTTTAGGCGTTAAAAATGTATAAATTTTTATAACATTAGAATAACAATGGATGGTTTAAGAATTTAAGAATATAAATACTGCATTTAATGAAATTCTAAAGTGTATGGTGCCAAATAAGTAATATTTTTGTGCATTTGGTCCAAATATCTGGTTTTCTTCATAAAATAATTTTAACTGAACACAATTTATTTAAAAAAATCTAGCTTTTCTATTATGGAATAAGAATATCTGTATTAAAGGTAGGTTAATATATTATAACAAAAATATCATCTAATTTTGTAATTTTAAGGTTAGAACAATTTATTTTGACCAAAATAAATAAGTTTTTTGGATTATTTAAAAGACTGTATATTATACAGTGTATAATATGGTATTTAAAAATGTGGTAGTTTTTCTTATCCAGCTTAAAGTGTAGTAGCTACATTAAGTTTTGTCAATACAAATAGTTAAAAAGCTTCGACTGAATTAGATCTACATAAAAAAATCATAAATTTAATAAATCACATGTCATGGGAGTATTAAATATTTTCACATTGCAAGTTTCTCTAAAAATTGTTTGTTTTCTTATAATCTAACTTAAAGTAAGTATGACGAGAGGTATGCACAAGTTTTGTCGTTAGAAGTATAAAAGCTTTAATTTAATTTGAACTTATTCAACAATTATTTAGTATACCTATATTTATTTATGACCATATTAACACACTCTTTCAAATAATCCACTTATTTATTTTGGTCAAAATAGATTTTTCTTACCTTAAAATACAAAATTAGATGATATTTTTCGTTCTAATACATTAACCTACCTTTGTTACAGATATTCTTATTTCATAATAGAGAAGTTAGATTTTTTTAAATTAATGCTGTTTAGTTAAAACTATTTTATGGAGAAATGTAGACCCAATGCACAAAAATATCACTTATATTGCACCTTACACTTTGGAATTTCATTAAATGCAGTATTTATATTCCTAAATTCTTAAACCAACCATTTTTATTGTGATACTATAAAGATTTATTAACTTTTAACGCTTAAACATAAGCGGTAACACTATAAATATTATTTCTTTCATTGATTATACTTTGACAGATACATAACCTAAAAAGCCTTTAATGCCAAATTTTTAAAAGACTGCGTTCCGTACGTGGTCACGTGGTGGGACTTTGAGGTGTGGAGCATAGTACATGTTTAGTTTTAACTTACAGGCCTTTATTTAATGATTTGATCTTCAGATTCGACATTTTATGGCTCGTGAGGTGGCCGGATTTATCTGCTTTTGATTTTTTCCCATTGGGGTGCGGAAAACCTCATAAATAAATATTGATTTTCTTAAGCAAAAGATAAATATTTTTTATATTTAATATTATGGATAATTAGCTGCCCCATAAATGTGTGTATATAGAAAAACTTGAAAAACGTAGGTATTTTTTACATTTTACACCAACGTAAAACACCATTAAACTGTTCATTGTTAATAGTTTCATATTTACTTTATTTGGCCGATCAGTACAAATTAAATATGTTTCGTTATTAAAACTACAATTTCATAGAATTTATATAGGGTTCGCGGAAAAACAAAACAGTAACCATTAATGCACAGAACAGTAATCCAGTCACTATACCATTCGAAGTACTGCTTTTTTCCAGTGAGCGAGATACAGTACGCTATACTGCCCTGCTAAGCCAAACCCCCATATCTACATACTTAAGTAATAAAAGACAAAAGATCATTTTAATTGTTGAAAACCATACAAATTATCCTTTGTCCTTTATAACTTAAGTATTACTAAATTAATATTGCAGATACGGTTGCTTAGCACGGCAGTATACACTTTACAATTTGTATACAAAAGACTACCAATAAATTTCATACCGACTGTCGAGTTATTAATACCTTTAGATTTAGATTTTTAAAACGTCTTGAGGTAAATGCATATATCAATGTAAATAAAAGTATAACATTCTATTTTTATCCCTTGAATGTCAGTATTAATATTTTATTTATGTTTCATGTAAAATTACGTTTTTTCTAAATGACACGCGTAGCGAATGACGGATTTGTGGGGAAATCAGACGACTCAACTTTTCTATCTATCTATATAGATATCTATCTATCAGCTGTAAACGCAAAGGTAATGAAAGTTGAATTTTCATTGCGTCATGAAAAGTAGTGTACAATATATATTTATGGCGATTTTTAAATCGGTGCATGCCTTTTGCCACTGTTATAAGGTTACGAGGGTAGTTCAATAAATACATACAACATCAAAAAGATGGCGTTTGTAGTTTCGGACGATGTGAAAAAGAGTTTCTTGTAGTGATTAACCATTTTATTTGAAAGCCAAAACAGCGAAAGAAGCAAAATCCAAGTAGTTGGATGAAGTTTATATGACATCTAATTGTATGAGTTTTAACGTGTCAATATCGTCGAATTGGGTAAGGATTTATTGACAAAATTCACGAAATCGTGATCAGGTCAAAGTGCATAAACTTATTAAGGCAACAAAAATTTAATATAAAAAAGATAACAAGCGTTTGCTCACATTAGATAACAAATTTAATTGTGACCACACGCAATTTCGATGGCAAAAATGGATATAACTCGCAACAATTGTTTACTAGATTCCCAGTAACTTGTTTTATATCCAAACAGAAGAAAGTATCTAACCAAAAAAATATATACGTCGAACGATTCTGAAACAGATGCATATTTTGGAAGCCTTTTGAGTCAATCCATATGAAAACTAGAAAATTAAACAATAATCGTTTTTAAAATTTCAATATGTTTGCTCCTTTTAAATCCCATGTAAAAGCAGAATGAAAATATCAAATAAGTTAATGTCATATTTCTATATTAATGTCAACATACTTATAAAATGGATGAAATAATGCTACTTTTTATTATTTCAATATTTTTCTCCTTTTAAAGCTACTGTACTAACCTTCAAAGATGAAAATAACAAAACCAAACTACCAGGCATCTGAACATTATGGTAGGTGCTAATTAAACTGTAAATTTCATAATTCTATTTGGAATTATATAACGGACTAAATAATGCGATTTTCTAGAATTTTAAAATTTCAACAATTTTTTGTTTGAAAACCGTATGCCAAACGGGTCAATTGTAAGTTTTATTTTATCTTTGGATTATAAGCTTAATATATGAAACAAGTTAGTTGTTCATATTAAACAGCCGAGACATGGGACGCATTTAAAAAACACAAAAAATTAGTAAAATACACGTTTTTTCAGCACTGTGTAATTATTTAGAAATATTGATTGAGTGACTATATTTTTTTATAAAAACTACTATTTTTTAGCTTTAAAATGACATTTAAAATATCCTTAATAGAAAAAAAATTACAGCTTAAATTATTAAAGCATAAAAATGACGTTTTTAAAAAGTTTTAATTTAAATAGGCCGTATTTGACACATGCGAAAAATTAAATAAGGGTAGATTTTCCCCTTGGGGGCCCTAATCAATATTTCTATAAAATTTGAGCAAAATCCAAGATGGTCGAGCAACGAGTTTCGGCGTTTTCATATGGATTGACTCTTTTTGGATTTTTGGTATTTTTTTGCTGAATAGAAAAAGTGCAGAAATTCTGGATGAAGGTTATTGACCTAAAAGGTGACTTTGTTGAAAAACAAAAATATTTAACCCAAAATAATGTGTTTTTCTTTTGTTTTGTAAATACTTATTGACACCCTGGCGCGCCAAAATTTCAAAAACATGTATGGTCGGTTTATTAATTTCCGTTTCCAGATCGTCTTCTGGCAGATAACCATTGCTTTGACAATATTCTACTCGTATATTGAAATCATCTGTGAGAATTTCTAACGAATAAGAGATTGAAAATAGCATCAAAACAGACAATGATTCATAATTTTCCCTGTACTTTAAAAAGAAAATATTATTTCCTTAGTCAAAAGAAATGATACTTTAAAAGTCCATAATCATAAAGATTAATTAAATTTATTAAAAAGTGTTAAGGTTTTGGGGAGGTATAGATATTTTTGCTTAGTTTATCAAAATTCAACGAATATAAAAGTTGCAAGAAAATGTATTCCATATAAAACAAAAGAAATAATAAAACTTCTAAAAGAGTAAACTTCGGTTTCAATATCTGTTTATCGATAGAGTTAGTTTCGCACGACCCAGATAGAAAATTCAAAAAATAAATTGCAAATCACATCAGTCAGTCCCTCGGTCTTTATTGCCAGGAAGTAAAGCAAACTTCAAATTCCTGTGCCGACGGTCCCGTTCGGCACACTAGCAGGCGTATCCCTCTTAATCTCGTCTATGGTCGACACTGACATCCTGCGTTCGGTCAGATCCAAAGGAAACTTGAAGCTGATCTCGCCTTTACTAAAAATAGCCGTCGCTGACTCCAAACTGTTCTCCGCCTCGGCCGCTCTTTTTTGTTGTTGCATTAGGTTTCTTGAATGACGTTTCATACAAGAACATACTACGAATACTATGGAGAAGATTGCCAGGACTATGATGCAGGCTAAGCCGATAAGAAGGCTTATTTTGCTTTTCTCGATGGGATCTTGCTCTTCCTCTACGTTTAAATTATTGCATACAGTGATGTCTTCAAATTTCAGATGGTGTATTTTCACGTTCTTGAGGATTTTTGGCGAAGCACACGTTAAATTTTTAAACAAATTTGTTTTGTTTACGCGGAACAATATTGGGGTTATATGACACAAATTACAAGTCCACGGATTGTCGCTAAGGTTGACATGTTTTAACGTTTCTAATCGAAGCACAACTGTTTCGTTCAGACCGCGTAATAGATTAGACGATACGTCTAACCTAGTTAACTGAGCGGGCAAACTGTCTGCAGTCAGTTCGCTAATGTTATTTTTCGAAATATTTAACTCACTTATCCGGTCAGGGAGAAAATTTTTCGGTAAACTTGGCAACTTCATCGCAGCAATGTCCAAACTATGGAGTTTGTGCAAACTTTGTAAAAGAGTTTTGAGCGTATCGTTGGAGATGGAATTACCGCCAATCACTAGCCTTTGTAAGGTTTCGCTGATGTGGTGGAAGGCGATGGGTTCTAGTTTTTTCAGTTTATTGCGACTTATGTCGAGTTCTACCAGACTGGTTAAATTTAGGAAGGCAGTGTTTGTTATTTTCACCAGCCGGTTGCGCGCCAGACAGAGATACCGAAGCTGCTGCTGATTGACAAACGTGTTTTCCAGCACGACAGGCAACATGTTTCCTGAAACAACAGGAAATAAATATTAATTATGAATAATAAATTCATCAGTGGCACTAAATAATATTGTGACAAAATAAACGTTTCAAGGATTTAACTATACAATTTTTTACGATTACCTACTCAGTTTATACAGCAAGGAATAATAAACTTTTAACAACATTAAATAAATTAGATACTTATTTAGGAAACAAAAAAGTTTTGGATAAAATACGAGGTGTGTTCAGAAAATATCGGGAATTTTCGTTTTTTGAAAAAAATATTTATTTATTCGTCTACATTAATGTTGTCGCCTTCAAAATAGTCCCCATTGGATATTATGCATATGTGCCAGCTCTTCTTCCAATACTCGAAACACTTCTTCTAAAACTCGATCTTTGGGATAGCCTTTAGTTCTTTCAGCGATGCGCTTTTAATGTCATCTATGCTTGCAAAACGACGGCCCTTTAAGGTTCTCTTTATTTTTGGGAATAGGAAAAAGTCAGACAGAGGCATGTCTGGCGAATATGGAGGCTGGGGCATCATTACAGTATTGTTTTTGGCCAAAAATTTTGTTCAAAATTTAACAATTTTGGAACAAATTTTGCTGCCACGCGTTTCATACCCAAAACATTCGAAAAAATTTCATGGGATGAGCCAATCGATATACCAACATCGTCAGCGACTTCTCTGATGGTTTATAACCATTTCTTCCACTTTTTCCATGTTTTTATCGGTTGTTAATGTGCTTGTGCATTCGGGGCGTTCGTCATCTTCAACGTCTTCACGGCCATCTTGGAAACTTTTATACCACTTGTAAACTCTTGTTTTACTTATAGCAGACTCACTATAGGCCTTTGTTAACATTTCACAGATTTTATTTCATTTTTGAAGCAAAATTGGATACAAATTCTTTGATCCATTTCTTTTAAGGAACGAAAAATCGCCGAGCTCATAAAACACGTCTAACCTTAGCGGCTGCCACAAACAAAGTAAACAATGAAAACAGCTAAAGTTTTTATCATACTTCGGGGGCATGTATACCAACATAATAAAGAAAATTTTATGACAACCGGACCCTCTGAACCCGCGAAATTTAACAATTCCCGTTATTTTATGAACACACCTCGTACATAACTGGCTTTGGCATATTTTAAAATGTATCAAGTTTTATAAACGCCATTTTGGTTACGAGTTATTTTATCAGGCACGAGCGAATCTTTCGAGTGAGTGATTAATAAAAAAGAGTGTCTAGAAAAGTTTATAAAACGAGTTACATACTACCACGAACACAAAGAGGAATTTAAACCCAATTTTATTTGGCATCTGTCAACTTTAAAAGGATTTAACCTCACGTTTCCCAAATTTATAATAAAGCTAAGCTAAGCCCGTGACTAAAATGCCGAAAGGCCACTATTGCTAACCGGTCGTCTCGTGCCCCCTGCTTAGTTTTCTTAGGGCTGGCTTATTGAAGCGATCAGAATCTGATCGCCGATGTTGGCAGGTGTAGGAAAATTTAAATCCAAGAAAAAAGGGGAGGATTTAAATTTTTTTACAAAATCTAGGGAAATTATAATCTACGTCCCAAAGAAAGTTTAAATATTAGTAAATTTTAGGGCAATTTTAACATTTGTCGTACACTTTTTATATAGGGAGTTTTTAACAAAGTCACCTTTTATTTACTAAAAAGGAATGGATATAACATACCGTCGAAGCAAGGATCGTATACCTTGTCGTAAATTCCGTAATTTCCTTTATGAAACGAATAAAAGAGAGACGAATGTATTCCCCACACATTTAATTTGGTGGTAGACGAACGCGGCCTCGACAGTTTAGCTATGGGCACACTCTTTTCTATACTGTGCAATGGTGGGAAATACATTCTTTATCTTACTAGTTGTATATGGAAAATTACGGAATATCTGACACGGTATATGATCCTTGGTTAAAATTATTCTTGTCCGCTATATTTGATACGTATCCAGAAATGCGGTTATGTAGGTTTGATAGAACGCACAGACCCGAGTATAGACCTATTATACACTGTTTAAAATATCTGTGGTGTAAAGAGTAATCCTAAAATGGTGTCAAAATCCAACACTAAGTGGTGTTAATAGAAACACCATGACTTATGGTTCCTGGTTGCATAGTGTGTACCGATCGCGGCAAAGGCGGTGTGGATCACATGATGTTCTTAAATCTCGCCTCTGTTGACTTACATAAAGAGTATATAAGCTCAGGTAGTCCTTTGCTTTGGTGTGACACTACAAGTTGTTCGATACTAAAGGGACCTTAAATAGGTGGAAACAGCTGTCAATACTGGAAGTATTTTAAGTTGGTGGAACGCACTAAAAACATTATTTCTAGCGAGTTGAAGGTTCAATTTTCTGGAATAATACCACTGGTAATATACTTGAAATGCGTTCAATTTACACCAGGTAAAATTTATTTTAATACTGTGTGAAAGTTAAATTTACACCATTTTAGTATTTGAATTTACACTGGCCAACGAACCATATTTAACACCATTTTGATTTGTATCGAATTTTGAACAGTGTATGGTCTAAGATAGAACGTAAATTATATGCAAAGCTTTTTCCCTATTATATGGTCTAAAATGGAATGTAAATTATATGCAAAGCTTTTTTCCAAGACCTAATTTTATAAAAAAAAAAATAAAACTTGTCAATCATGGTGGATGAGAATCCCTTTCTAAGAAAAATCCGTCTAGGGAGATCTAGGTAATTTTTACTCTCTAGTGGGAGGACAAAAATTCACCTGGCAACTGTGATCTGACCTATGATAAATTTATTAAATAATTTTTTAAACTAAAAAAAGCGACTTTGGAAAAAAACAATATAATAATTGTTATTATTCCAAAAACTTCTTAAATTCAGCTTAACCACAAATTAATGTAACTCAATGATATGTTAATATTTAACGTGCCTTGTAAACAACAAATATTTATTTTTCTCAGTGTATAAAAACCTTAAATAAATTGTTACTGAATGAATATTTTGTATTTACTTATTAAATGTTTTTTTATTGACAAAACTATAATAATAAAAAGTCAAAAGTAAAATACTTATTCATTTTACTTTAATTAATATACAGGGTGTCCCAGAACTCGCGCCACAGAGAAAAAGGGAACGTACCGAAAGTAATTTGAAACACATATTTAAAAATTCAAATTGTCCAACGCAAAGGATAAGGGAGATAAGAATAAAAAACGATAGCCAATCCCAATAGATCACCACCGGGAATTCTTTAAATTGCTAGGATACTTAGGTTGCATTGTTGATAATAAAAAATATGTAAAATATTTGGTCCACTGGAATCCAATTCATTGTAAAACTGCTGTCAATCTTTACTCCTGTCATTAATATTATATTAGGTTATAAATTAAGTTATTATTGACAATGCTGTCAATCTTTACTTTTGTCATTAATATTGTATTAGGTAATAAATTAAGTTATTATAAATAATGTTTTCCTTGATGATTATACCGAAATGATAACTATTTATGGGGAGCGTGGGCGCAAAAAAAGCTAAATAAAGTACAACTGGTTTGATTTTTTACTTTAAAACATTGGCGTTCTGAAGTATCAGTCATAGATTATTAACCTCATTTTTTGAAAGCTTTTGACAACTTAGTAAATACAGTTGGCCAAAAGATTTTTAAATGTTTTTAAGACAACAATGTTCTATCGTCTCTTAGCAATGTTTAAAGCTCCTACGTTTAACCTAGGCGAGATGTCTCGGTATTGGCTGCCGCTTTTTTGCTCTCATTCGATTACACTATTACCTAGAAATTTTTTATTTTTAAATTTGGCATCTCCATTGCTATCGGCACGCCCCCTTTTTCTCTGTGGCGCGAGTTCTGGGACACCCTGTATATCTTTTTTCAGAAACAAAGCAAGATCCAATATTAAATTTTATGTCTGAAACTCTTTTTAGAATTTATTTGAAACTATCAAAAATAAATAGTATGTATAATAATTTATATATTATTAAAATATAATGCACGGAAGTGGACTGGATATTTTCTGAATTATTAAGTGTATAAGTATCTATTTTTAAATATTTTTTTTGCAACATAACTCAAACAGATAGGGATTTAGTATTCTGGAAGTGAACGTACCATCAAGCTTTAAACTGTGGAGTCGATGTAGATCTCTGAATTCGTCGTAGTCAATAAATTGCATCTGATTGTTTCCCAAATCGAGATGGGAAAGATAAGGCAGCAAATGGTATATTTGAGTGTTTATTCTTTTAAGACCGCATCCTCGGCATTCCAGAACTCGAAGATCCTGCAAAAGAAAAATTTTCAAATTAGATTTAAGCAGCATAATCCCGCCCCCGGCACCAAAAACAATATTGACTCGGAATTTATTGAGATTCGGAAAATTGGAAAATTCTCTTAAATAACATATTTTTCCCCTTTTTCAAGTATTTTTATCTAAAGAATTTTTTATTTAAAAACGATTGAGGCGATAATATATATATATATATATATATATATATATATATATATATATATATACAGGGTAAGTCTTTTTACTTGAAACGAAAAATATCTAAGTACATAGGCATTTACAGAAAAAAAATTTAAATAAAAATTAAATGATTCGAGGGGGGAAATAAATTGGTACCAAAATTATTCCCCATACTCTGGAACACCCTATTTTTTATTGCAGATTCGGATAATTCGACTAAAAATTTGTAGATTTTGTTTAAAACATTTTTTCATATTAGTAATAGATGGCGATGTAATAAAAAAATCTATTTTGTTCGATTTTTCTTCTGTATACGATTCTGCAGAACTTTTTCTATAAAATACTTCTTGGTTGTTATTTTCAGTAAAAATTTACTTTTTTATTTTTTAATTTTATTCCAAGGGTAATACGAAAAGAATGCAAAAGTCAATTTTTATGAAAATTTTTCAATTGTTTAATTACGGATATTTTCCGTACACTGATAATGAGAAAACAAAATCCGACACTGATTATAATCATAATATTATG